TGTGTGGGGGGGTGGAGTGTGTGTGTGTGAGTGTGTGGAGTGTGTGTGGGGGGGGTGGAGTGTGTGTGTGTGTGTGTGTGGCGTGTGGAGCCTGGGAACTAGGCTGGCCTTGGAGGCGGGAGGCACAACTATACCTGGAGGTGAGAGGGGAGGAGCGGGTGCTGGGTGTGGGGCAGGCCTGGGAGGGCTTCCGGCCAGATGGCCTCAATTCTCTCTGGAAGTGGGAGGCAAGGTCATGTGCTAAGAGCCATGCAGCGGGTGGGTGGGGGTGGGGTGCAGGAGGAGCTGAGGGGAGCAGGAAGGATGCTCCGTGCCAGCCCAGGGGCCCTGGATGTGCCCCGTCAGGGCAAGGCTTGTCTGAGGAGCCAGCAGTCCCAGGGCCAGGCTGGGCGTGGGGGATGCAAGTAGGTGGGTCAGGCCAGGGTTGGCAAGAGGATGGGGCCTTCCGGGGCACCAGGCGGGACTCAGCAGATGGCGAGCACACCTGTTTGGCTGGATTGGAAACAGGCTGGAAAGCCCTTGAGGGCCGACCTGGGAGAGGAGAAGGCCACGCTGCCCGAAGGCCACGGGGAACCATGGAGCGTCACTGAGCAGGAGTGGGGCGTGAGCAGAGCAGCGTCTAAGGACTGGTATCCAGCTACGCGTCCTTGGATGGAGAGAGCAAACTGGAGGCAGGAATCTGGAGGAGGGGACACATCTGAAGGGAGGATGTCAAGTGTCGGATGTCACAGAGGAAGAGCTATTAGCTCCGAAGGTCAGCCCCGAGCGCCCCAGGTGGCCATGGCCTGCGCTGGCCCACAGAGCCTGGCTGCCTCGCACAACAGGAAAGGGGCTTCCAGCCCCGCTGGGGTGCTCAGTGGGGACCCCTGCTTCAGAAGGAGACCAGTATCCCTGAGGCTCTAACCACATTCCAGCTACGACGATGCTGGATCCTCCCAACAATCAGATGAGGTCGGAATTATTGTTCCCTTTGAGAGATGGAGGGACTGAAGTTCAGAGAGGCCAAGTCACTCACCTCAGGCCACACAGCAAGCGAGAAACAAGGTCTGAGATCTTGGCCGGCTCTATGCCTGCATTCTTCCTGCTGTTTCTGTCTCCTCTGCCACTTCACTGGGGGCTTGTACTCCACCTGACTTTATTCTGGCAGGTTCTAGGTGGTTCTGGACCAGGGAAGTTTGCGGGAACTTGGATCTAAAGCTCAGTAACTCCAAATGGCCCAGGGGACCTGGATCCCATGCACCGGCCCTGGGAGAATGCCGGGCTCAGCACCCTGAGCCCAGGCTGAGGCGGGACCCCTGGGTTCACACTGTCACCGCCAGAGGGCGCCCACAGTTGCCCAGGTGAGGGCGAGGGGCGGTCCCCTTCCTGGCTTCCGGAAAAACAGCCTGGGCTCCCGGATCTGGAAACTGCCCCCTCATGGGTCCAGGGACCCCCCTCACCTCCTCGCATCTACCTCAGCCAAGGTCTTGCTGACCCTCCCTTCCCAGGCCCTGCTTTGCCCAGGGAGTCAGGTTCCCCAGGGTGGGTGCCAGGAAGCCTGGGTCCCCTTGCTGACCTCCCCCAGCTCCACTCACAGATGTGCCTGCCTCACCCCTCAGCCCTGTTCTCACGCAGCCGCAGTGCTGAGGCCGCGCCAGCACCGATTGTCACCTCCGTCACCTCCTGTCAGCCCCTGCACAGCCCTGGGTGGGAGTGTGGGCCAGTCCAGATTACCAACTGGGCCCAGAGAGGGGGAGGGCAGTGCCCTGGGCCACACAGCCTGCCAGTGGGCTGC